GAAGGGCAGCAGAGACGATTGACAGAGCTGGCACCGCAGCATCAACCCGGGGCAGCTTTCAATTAGACCCAGCGTGAGAAAGGAGACTCTGGATCTCCCTCTGAACCCAGGCAGGAGAGGAGAGCATGGAGATCAAAAGGATCGGAGGCGGATTTAGGGCAGCGCAACCTGTTCTGTTGTACAGTGGTACCTCGGGATGCGAACGGGATCCGTTCCGGAGCCCTGTTCGCATCCTGAATAGAACGTAAGACGCGACGGCATGTCTGCGCATTCCGTGTTTTGCCACTTCCAGGCACGCGCATGTCATCATTTTGAGTGTCTGCGCATGCGCGAGCGTCGAAACCCGGACGTAATGCGCTCCGTTACTTCTGGGTTGGAGGGACATGGGTGGCGCTGTGGGTTAAACCACAGACCCTAGAACTCGCCGATCAGAAGGTCAGTGGTTCGATTCCCCGCGACGGGGTGAGCTCCCGTTGCTCGGTCCCTGCTCCTGCCAACCTAGCAGTTTGAAAGCACGTCAAAGTGCAAGTAGATAAATAGGTACCACTCCAGCGGGAAGGTAAAAGGCGTTTCCGTGCGCTGCTCTGGTTCGCCAGAAGCGGCTTAGTCATGTTGGTCACATGACCCGGAAGCTGTACGCCGGCTCCCTCGGCCAATAAAGCGAGATGAGTGCTGCAACCCCAGAGTCGGCCATGACTGAACCTAATGGTCAGGGGTCCCTTTACCTTTACCTTTACTTCCGGGTTGCCGCGGAGCGCAACCCAAAAGCGCTCAACCTGAAGCACATTCAACCCGAGATATGACTGTAGTGGGCACCAAGACCTAGGATGTTGCAACTAGGACCTAGTGCATTGTTTGTCAACCAGTATGCTGGGTTACCCTGGGGAGACTTGAGGAATGTTTGGGGGAGCCCAGGGGGCGCCTGGCCTTTCGTTAACTTGCAGCCCAGGTCTTCCTGCATTATCTCATTATAAGTTGATGATATAATAATAATAATAATAATAATAATAATAATTTATTTATTCCCCAGCCACTCTGGGCAGCTTCCAACAAAATATTAAAATACAGTAATGCATCAAACATTAAAAGCTTCCCTTAAAAGCTGTTATAAGAATTTTAAGGCCTCAAAATAATAATAAATATTCCTAAATGCACACATATCTAAATATATAAACAATGTGTCTGAAATAGTACAGGAAAACAATCCTGAAGCCATTTTGATTCTTTCAGTGACCTCAAATATTCCTCTGCAGTAAGGGAGGCAAATGGGGAAAGCCTTCCCCTTGTCTTTTCGCTTGCAAATCTTGTCTTAAGGGTGTATTTGTGGATGAATAGGGTGAGCCTGTGACTAGGATTCAGGAACTAAAGTATTTACCATCACAAAAGAATGGCCAGGCTGCCCAGGTAAAGCAATCAGTGACCATTATCAGGTATCCTGGCAAACAGGTTTTCTGCTGTAGACCGCCTCCTTCTGTGATTTATGTATGATGTTTTGGGGGTGGTCTTGAGCTACAGGGTGGGCAATTTCAAGAGTATATATAAGTGCTTGCACACCATCATTCTGTGTTCCTCCTCCCTCCTGCATGTGGTGAGTGGGGACCCTGTTGCAACAGTTTAATAAAGATAAGGCTTACTAGCTGCTTTGCTTCTCAGTATTCTCTGGTTGGCCTCTGTTATTTTCTCCCACCGACAGAGAACCTACAAAAGGACTCTATATGGGCTCTTCGATACCCCATAAGGGAAAAGGAGCAGTTTTGTTTTTTTACTTATATCACCTTCTAATTCTCATGGCTACTTGCCACAATGGCTGCTCCCTGCCTCCACATTCAGAGGCAGCAACGCTTTTGAATGCCAGTTTCTGGAAGCTGCAGCAGGAGAGAGGGCTTTGGGGGTCCAATCCTGCTTGTGGGATTCCCATAACGGGCATCTGACTGGCTGCTGGACTAGACGCGCCCTCGGCCTGATCCTGCAGCCAGCCTCTTCTGTTCACCCGCGCATACAGAGCACGACACACTTTTAAGAGTCGTCTACAACGTTTTGCATTGTCTTCTTCAGGATTTCACATCCCGGAACAAGCATGTCTAATGTACGAGAATAAGCGAGGACTTGTGTAACACCGTTACTTTAGGGCGCGCGGTGCTGAATTATTAAGGTGTGAAGCGCTACGCCACTTTTCTGTCCCTGGTACTGGGGGTAATCCCAGGGATTTAATTAGATGCAGCTCTGGAGATCTGATCCAAAGAGACACCTGCTCTCCTTTTTCCTTGTAGCTGGGGAAGAAGAAAACCCGAGTCCCGTACGCCTTATTGCATCTCTCCTTCCTCGAGCCAACTGATCTCATTGCAGGCGCCTGTTTCCTTAGCTTTCCATCTCTCTCTCTTTCTCTGTCTCTCTCTCTCTCTTTTTCCACCTCTGCAAGGATCCTGCGCTGCACAGTAACTCCAGGGACCTGCCACTCCACTCCCGATGATTAATGCACTCCCGTCCCCGGCGCACCGACTCTGCTTTGCAAGGAGCCCTAAGCGTGATTGATGAACCCCCGTCGCCGGGAGCAACGCTGCGCGATTCGGGGCAGACGGCTGGCCGATGGGTTTGCTGATTTGCTGCCTTTGTACCCCAACTTTTCCCTCCCGGGAGCTCAAGTTGGCACACATGGTTCTTTGCCCCATCTTCATTTATTCCCGTAACGACAACCCTGCGAGGTCGGGCTGAGAGGCGACACCCAGTGTGTTTCCTGGCCCATTGGGGATTCGAACCCACTTCTCTCCCAGGTCCTAGTCGGACACCACTGGCTCCCATGATTAGCGCTGCAGGAGCTCTTCTATGGCCCCTAAAGATGAGCTAAGGTCCCAGCCCAGAAATAGAAGCAAGAAGAATTGCCGACGATTGAAGAATGGAGAATGAAGTTGATGGACCATGCAGAACTAGATAAATTAACAGGAAGGATCCGAAACTGACAGGAACAGAGATTTACCCAAGACTGGAGTAAATTTATGATTTATATGAAAAGTATTTGTGATGAACAAACGACGTTTGTAGGTTTGCAAGAGGTTTTGTGAGGAGTATTGTTAGAAATATTGTAAAATTGGGGAAGGGGAGATGAGAGGTTAAAAGAAGTAAAGACAATATAAAACTAAGTAATGCATAAAAAGTGATTAAGACGGAAGATCATCGGAGGTGCTAATGGAAGTCCGAAAAGAATGTATTTGTTATAATATGTGGGGTATGTTTTATAATTTGTATGCTAAAATTAATAAAAAATGTATTTTTTTAAAAAAAAGATGAGCTAAGGTCCCAGTCCTCATGAACCCCAGTAAAAGGACGATTGGATAGGAACAAAGGAAGCGACCTTATAGCAAGTCAGTTCATAATAATAATAATAATAATAATAATTTTTATTTATACCCCGCCCTCCCCGGCCAGAGCCGGGCTCAGGGTGGCTAACACCAATAAAATCACAGTAAAAACAGAATAGGTGGAAAAGAGAGGGGGGGAGAGAAAAGTAAAGAAAAACCAATTTAAAATACAGGTTAAAATGCAATTTAAAATGCAGCCTCATTTTAAAGTAGCTGATAAATCTACTTGGTTCTTGGTTCAGTCTACGTTGACTGGCCGTGGCTCTCCAGGATTATTATGATCATTTATTAAATTTATATAATGATCGGACAATCACAGGGCGGTTTAAAACATAAAATCGCAAAATGCATAGCACAAAAAGGGGGAGAAATACCCACCTCCCACATTTAAAAACTGCCAGCACATTTAAAACTGCTTGCATATTTGCAAAACTAAGCAGGCTTCAAATTAGATGTATGTTGAAATTCATGCATTTCAGGGGTAGGACTAGATGACCCTCAGGGTCCCAACTCTACAATTGTATGATTCTGAAGGGCTCTAGCTTGTTTAGCGGCCAAAGCCCTGGTTGAAGAGGGATGTTTTTGCCTGGCACCTGAAGATATGTGATGAAGGAGCCAGGTGAGCAACACTGGGAGAGCGTTCCACAAACGGGGAGCCACCGCAGAAAAGGCCCCGTTCTCGTGTTGTTGCTTTCCGGGCCTCTCATGGGGTGGCATGTGAAGAAGGGCGTCTGATGATGATCACAGGGTATGGGGCGGTTCATATAGGGAGAGGCGGTTCTGGACGTATTGTGGTCCTGTTTCGGTACCTGAGCCAGGTTTCAGACACGGAATTTCTCCCAGCTCTGCTCAAAGATGTCAGTGGTCAAACGCAGAACCTCCTTTTCGCAAAGTGGATGCTCTGGCTTTGAGCTACAGCTTGGGGACTTCAGCATTGGGCTGGAAACATCTGGTTGTCCCCTTTTAGCACCAAGTAGGGACGTGGGTGGCGCTGTGGGTTAAACCACAGAGCCTAGAGCTTGCCGATCAGAAGGTCGGCGGTTTGAACCCGCAGGACGGGGTGAGCTCCTGTTGCTCGGTCCCTGCTCCTGCCAACCTAGCAGTTCGAAAGCATGTCAAAGTGCAAGTAGATAAATAGGTACCGCTCCGGCGGGAAGGTAAACGGCATTTCTGTGCGCTGCTCTGGTTTGCCAGAAGCGGCTTAGTCATGATGGCCACATGACCCGGAAGCTGTATGCCGGCTCCCTCGGCCAGTAAAGCGAGATGAGCGCCGCAACCCCAGAGTCGGTCACGACTGGACCTAATGGTCAGGGGTCCCTTTACCCTTCACAGGAAAACAGTTCTGAAACCATTTTGACTCTCCCAAATTGTTTCTCTGCAGTAAGGGAGGCAAATGGGGAAACCTCCCCATTGCCTTTTTTCTTGCAAATCCTGTCTTAAGGGTGTATCTGTATATGAATAGGGTGAGCCTGTGACCTGGATTCAGGAACTGAGTATTTACCATCACAAAAGAATGGCCAGGCTGCCCAGGTAATGCAGTCAGTGGCCATTATCAGGTGTCTTGGCAGACAGGATTTCTGCTGTAGACAGCCTCCTTCTGTGATGTATGTATGATGTATGGAGGGATGGTCTGTGGTTTAACCCACAGCGCCATCAAGGTTCAAATCCCAGCACTTGGCCATGAAGCTCACTGGGTGAGCTTGGACACCAGACCTGCCCTCTACCTTGCAGGATTGGTGCGGGGATTAAACGAGGATCAGGGAGAATGATGTTCATCACCTTGAGCTCCTCAGAGAAAAAGGTGGGATGGAAACGCAGCGAATAAGTACAGTCATACCTCATGTAATGTCTGCTTCATGTTACGTTCCTTCAGGTTATGTCCCGCGGCGACCCAGAAGTACCGGAAAGGGTTACTTCCGGGTTTCACTGCTTGCACATGCCCAGACGCGCAAAATGATGTCACGCGCATGTGCAGAAGTGGCAAATTGCAACCCGTGCATGCGCAGACGCGCTGCTGCGGGTTGCGCTCTTCTCATGTTGCGAACGGGCCTACAGAAAGGATCCTGTTCACAACCAGAGGTACCACTGTAATAAAATAATCTGCGCCCCTGTCTTTTGGCCAAAACACATGAGGTGGGGGTTATTATTGCTTATCTGCCAGGCACTGAAAAACATTTCTACGGCTTGAAACTCTTTGACATCAAACTGTCGTTTTAAACTCTGCTTGCTGCATTTATTGTGAATGTCATTTTCTTTTCTTCTGGAAAAACACATTGAAGTCATTCCTTTTTAAAAAAATAAAAATAAAAGGGGCCTGTCTATCTAGAAAGGCTTTTAACACACCCGGGGTCCAAGCTGGCCGCGAGCCAGAATCCTGGCGACGTTTCTGCTGGACCAGAATCAAACCTGGAGAGCCATACGGACAGATGCGTACAAACACACACACACCCAAATCCAGGGTTTTTTTGCAGTGTGAAATTTCTAACTCCCGAAGCTTGCTGCTCCCATCCTGTATCAACAGGGCAGATCCTGTTGTTGTTCTTGTTTAGTCGTGTCCGCCTCTTCGTGCCCCGCTGGACCAGAGCATGCCAGGCACTTCTGTCTTCCACTGCCTTCCACAGTTTGGTCAAACTCATGTTTGTAGCTTCTCCTTGTGCACTCCATCTTTCCCAACATCAGGGTCTTTTCCAGGGAGTCTTCTCTTCTCATGAGGTGGCCAAAGTCTTGGAGCCTCAGCTTCAGGATCTGTTCTTCCAGGGAGCACTCAGGGCTGATTTCCTTCAGAATGGAGAGGTTTGATCTTCTTGCAGTCCGTGGGACTCTCAAGGGTCTCCTCCAGCACCAGAATTCAAAAGCATCCATTCTTCAGTGATCAGCCTTCTTTATGGTCCAGCTCTCACTTCATAGAATCATAGAATCATAGAATCATAGAGTTGGAAGAGACCACAAGGGCCATCGAGTCCAAACCCCTGCCAAGCAGGAAACACCATCAGAGCACTCCTGACATATGGTTGTCAAGCCTCTGCTTAAAGACCTCCAAAGAAGGAGACTCCACCACACTCCTTGGCAGCAAATTCCACTGTCAAACAGCTCTTACTGTCAGGAAGTTCTTCCTAATGTTTAGGTGGAATGAACTTCCATACATCACTACTGGGAAAACCATAGCTTGAACTATATGGACCTTTGTCGGCAAGGTGATGTCTCTGCTTTTTAAGATGCTGTCTAGATTTGTCATTGCTTTTCTCCCAAGAAGCAGGCGTCTTTTAATTTTGTGGCTGCTGTCTCCACCTGCAGTGATCATGGAGCCCAAGAAAGTCAAATCTCTCACTGCCTCCATTTCTTCCCCTTCTATTTGCCAGGAGGTGATGGGACCAGTGGCCAGGATCTTTGTTTTTTTGATGTTGAGCTTCAGACCATATTTTGCGCTCTCCTCTTTCGCCCTCATTAAAAGGTTCTTTAATTCCTCCTCACTTTCTGCCATCCTGTAGGGCTTAGTTGTGATTCCTGAGTTGCAGGAGCGGGTTGGAATTGATGACCCTCGGGTGCCCCTTTTAACTCTTCAGTTCTGTGATTTCATGATCCCACAGAGTGTGATTGGGGGTGGGCGTCTTCCCGCACCCCAAAGTGGCACCCACTTCTATTGTTTTTTTCTCTCTCTCTCTCTTTCTCCCTCCCACGTCCCAACCTACATTCCCCGGCAGATATTTTTAAGGGGAGAAAAAGAAGACGCCATTGTCTATTAAGAGAGAGGTATTTGTGCTCAAACAATAATTGCTCCCTTGTTATCTCTCTAATTGCAGGCTGTCGGCCTGAGCTGGGCACAAAGCATCTTCCTCGGGGGCATCATCCTGCAACGTGCCTCCAAGGAGCCCATACACACTCCCCCGGGACGGATCCAGTGATGGCATGTGCTGGAAGCGTCTGGGGGCAAGGGGGGTGAAAATGATCTGCCCCAGAATTGATTGTGTTATTATGAGGATTGTAAGGTCTAAGATATAAAATAAAGGTTCATAAATGTACCAGGCAAACACATACATAAATATATAAACCACGTGTCTGAAACAGTACTAAAGCCATTTTGACAGTAACTTCAAATATTCCTCTGCAGTTTGGATGGAAATGGGAAAAGCCTCCCCATTGTCTCTGTGCTCACAAATCCTGCCTTAAGGGAACATTTGGGGATGAACAGGGTCAGCCTGTGACCTGGACTCAGGAATTAAGTATTTACCATCACAAAAGAATGGCCAGGCTGCCCAGGTAAAGCAATCAGTGACCATTGTCAGGTATCCTGGCAAAGCAGAATTTCTGCTGTAGATTGCCTCTTTTCGTGATATATGTATGATGGGGTTTTTTTTGGGGGGGTGGTGGTCTTGGGCTACAGGGTGGGCAATTTCAAAAGTCTATATAAGGGCTTGCACACCATTGTTCAGGGTTCTTCCTCCCGCCTGCGTGTGGTGAGTGAAGACCCTGTTGCAAGAGTTTAATAAAGATCAGGCTTACTAGCTGCTTCGCTTCTCAATATTCTCTGGTTGGCCTCTGTTATTTCCTCCTACCGATAGAGAACCTACATAAGGACCCTATAAGGGCTCTTGTGTCCCCCCATAAGGGAAAAGGAGCAGTTTTTTCTTATAACAGATTGCAAATGAGATCATTTTAAGTGGGGAGAATGAGGAGGAGGAGCAGAATCTCGACGGCTGTTGACACCCAGAACCAAGCTTAAGATTGTGCAGCCTTCAGAAAAAGGTCTAGTTTTACTCGATGGGCATTGCAGGCGAAGCATCAAACAAAGCAGGTTTTTCTATGTCATGGTTCAGTTGGGCAGACACCACCTGGAACATCATTCCAGTTCTGTGCACCCCAGGTTTAAATGGAGATGGACAAGGCAGAAGCTGCACAGGATTATCCAGGGTCTGGAAACCAACCTTATGAGGAGTGGTTGAAGGAGCTGGGTATCTTTAGCCCTGGAAAAGAGGAGACCGAGAGGAGATGATGGTCATCTTCAAATATCTGAAGGGCTGTCACACGGGAGAAGGAGCAAGCTTGCTTTCTGCTGCTCCAGAGGGTGAGACCTGAACCAATGGATTCAAATGGCAAGAAAGAGATAAACAAATATGAGCTCATTGTTGCAGCAACTACCAATTAATGGTGGGGTTATCTTGACTACGCCGAGCTTCCAGAACAGTCTGCCTTTGGTTCTAAACACTGCACATCCCCTCTCCATTACTGGATCTAGACACATCAAAAAAAGTGTTTCAGTTAAACGCATTGCAAATTGAAACAGGGAAAACAGGTAGAGAAAAATGGGACTCCACGGCGCCATCTGGTAGCACAATGATATATCACATTTGTTTTATCGTGTTTTTAATATTCTGGTGGGAGATGCCCAGAGTGGCTGGGGAAAGCTAGCCAGATGGGCGGGGTAGAAATAATAGATGATGATGATGAACCTCCAGTTCTAGGCGCAGTCTATCTAGACTTCTAGGTTTTGGGGGTATTTGGCCACAGTTAGAACAGGATGCCGGACAAAATGGGCCATTGGCCCGATCGCGCAAGCTCTTCTGCTATTATCTCGTCTTTGGTTACGCTGACGGGCATTTTGTCCAAATTATATGAAGGGCGCTAGGAAGGTTAAGCCCTGCAAACGTCTATAAAGCAGGGATTTCTTATGGAGTACAATCAGTGCCAACTTCAAATGCCCCTTGCCTCAATTAAAGGCTCACGTTAATAGCTGCTATTAGAAGGACCACAGATTTGGGTAATTGGTTTAATCTGCAGATTAATCCTTTCGAGCTTGCGTTGATTAATCGTTTAGGGCCGATTTTAACGGGGTTCGCATTACGAAGCAAGGTGTTCCTTTTTTTTCTTTTTTGTAAGGAACGAAACCTTAAAAGTGGCTTTCCCCTCCAATAACGGGCAATTTAGCTTATACGTTATAAATTATCAGGCTTCCTTCATCATCTCCAGGAAAGAAAAAAAAAGTACCTTGATTGAGGTTTCGGTAATAAGCAAGTTTATTTACATTTAATAGATTAATTAATCAGTTAAAGAGCAGGCGATTAATCAAGGAAAACCTCCTTAATCAGCCGACAGCCCTAATTATGGCAAACATTGTTTCCATAGCGTTTTTTAATTTGCGAAGGGCGTTAAAATCTCAAGGGGAGGCGCCCTTGCCACCCGCTCCGTGGGAGATCCCTCTTCCTTTCCTGGGGGGTGATGAGAGGAGATGATGCGGGAAATGTTTGCATCTCAGGATCTGAGAGGTTCCCCACACACACACACCTCTCTTGTCACACTGAACGCCAGGATTCAAGAGCCAGCGTCTGGGAAAAGGCACAGAAAGAGCATCAGTGCTCATCTCTGTAATATATGCTCAGGCAGTCCTGGGCGTCAAGAGCCTCCTTGCTCACTAATGCCCAGATACATTTTCCTTCCTCGCTTTTTAATTAATTTTCTTATTTGCAGACGTAGCCAAGAAAAGGAGGGAGGGAATAAATAAATAAATAAATAAATATATATATGTTATGAGAATTATAAGGTCTAAGATATAAAATAAATGTTCATAAATGTACCAGGCAAACAAATACATAAATATATAAGCCACGTGTACAGGGAAACAGTTGTGAAACTGTTTTGACTCTCCCAAATTGACCTCAAATGTTTCTCTGCAAGGAGGAAGGAAATAGGAAAGACTCCCTAGTGTCTCTTGCTCACAAATCCTGTGTTAAGGGCATATTTGTGTATGAATAGGGTGAGCCTGAGCAACGGGGTGAGCTCCCGTTCCTCAGTCCCTGCTCCTGCCAACCTAGCAGTTCAAAAGCATATCAAAGTGCAAGTAGACAAATAGGTACCACTCCAGCGGGAAGGTAAACGGCGTTTCCATGCTCTGCTCTGGTTCACCAGAGGCGGCTTAGTCATGCTGGCCACATGACCCGGAACCTGTACGCCGGCTCCCTTGGCCAATAAAGCGAGATGAGCGCCGCAACCCCAGAGTCGGCCACGACTGGACCTAATGGTCAGGGGTCCCTTTACCTTTAGCTTCAGGGCTCAATCGGAGCAGTGTCTGGCTAGCAGTAACATCAGCTTGCATTTTGCTATAAAATACAAGGCAGCTTAGCATGGGGTGAGGATGTTTGGGGCAACCAGAGAGACAACATTTATGAGAATCTTTGTAATAGACTTGTTTCCAGGTGACCTTTCGGGCAACAAAGGGAAGGGGTGCCTAACCGAGAAAGAGCCAATTTCTTCCCCACGGTGCAGCCGGACTCATATTTAATCGCGGCCCGATTCAATGCGCATCATGTCTTTTCCGGTGTAGATTTTTATCGCCTCTTGAAAATTTGCAGAGCGTTGGGTAGCCTTTACGACGCTTGTCTTTGCCGTGACAGCTCTGGGGATGGAGGGAAGTTGGTCCTTACAGTTCCCCCACTGCCAGAGGGAGAAACCTGTTAGAATTCCTGCTCCGCGATTGCAGTCATGGGATTGTTGTCTATCACATGACGCTGTATGTTTTGACTCCACCGCGTGGGAAGTGACGGAGACAGGATGTTTGTGTTCCTGTGTTCCGTGGACTATTGTCCTTTGTTCTTTTTCTGTTTGCTGTCTGATGCTAGAGAGAGAGGGAGCCATGTTGCAGTGCTCCGTGTGTGTTTATATGTAAATAAAGTAGATTAGCCAAAATGCTGAGTTGCTGAGGTCTGTTACGAAAAGCTGTGAAGACTCTGCAGATCCCTAAGTGTGCCGGTGTCTGTTGGCATTGGTCGCTGTGATGTTCGGGCAGAATTATTATTATTATTATTATTATTATTACGTCCAGTCAAAGGCAACTCTGGGGTTGCGGCACTCATCTCGCTTTCAGGCCGAGGGAGCCGGCGTTTGTCCGCAGACAGCTTTCCAGGTCATGTGGCCAGCAGGACTAAACCACTTCTGGCACAACGGTACACCATGACAGAAACCAGAGTGCATGGAAACGCCGTTTACATTCCCGCCAGAGCGGTACCTATATATCTACTTGCGCTGGTGTGCTTTCGAACTGCTAGGTAAGCAGGAGCTGGGACAGAGCAATAGGAGCTCACCCCGTCACGGGGATTCAAACCGCCGACCTTCCGATTGGCAAGCCCAAAAGGCTCAGTGGTTTAGACCGCAGCGCGACCGCATCCCTAGGGAAAAGGGTGCAGCTGGGACTCACCTAGATTTGTAAAGAAAAAGCAATTTATATGTGATATATTTTTGAATTCTGGTGCTGGAATTCGTCCAGGCAGAACGATGGGGGTGGAGACGTTCCTTCAGGTATCCTGGGCCGAGGCCGTTTAGGGCTTGAAAGGTCAGCAACAACACTTTGAATTGTGCCCGGAACGTACTGGGAGCCAATGTAGGTCTTTCAGGACCGGTGTTATGGGGTCTCGGTGGCCGCTCCCAGTCACCAGTCTAGCTGCCACATTCTGGATTAGTTGTAGTTTCCGGGTCATCTTCAAAGGGAGCCCCACGTAGAGCGCATTGCAGTAGTCCAAGTGGGAGATAACTAGAGCATGCACCACTCTGGCGAGACAGTCTGTGGGCAGAGAGGGTCTCATCCTGCGTACCAGATGGAGCTGGTAGACAGCTGCCCTGGACACAGAATGGACCTGCACCTCCATGGACAGCTGTGAGTCCAGAATGACTCCCAAGAATGTAAGAGGAGTTTGGCTGCTGGATAAAGGCCAATCGCACATCAAGACCAGACACTTGTTCTCACAGTGGCCAACCAGACGCCCATTATGGAACACCTGTAAGCAATATCTGAGCGCAAGAACCCTCTCTCCTCCTGCAGTTTCCAGCAATTGCTATTCAGAGCATTGCTGCCTCTGAATGTGAAAAGGAAGAAGAAGAAGAAGAAGAAGAAGAAGAAGAAGAAGAAGAAGAAGAAGAAGAGTTTGGATTTGATATCCCGCTTTATCTCTACCCTGAGGAGTCTCAAAGCGGCTAACATTCTCCTTTCCCTTCCTCCCCCACAACAAACACTCTGTGAGGTGAGTGGGGCTGAGAGACTTCAGAGAAGTGTGACTAGCCCAAGGTCACCCAGCAGCTGCATGTGGAGGAGCGGGGAATCGAACCCGGTTCACCAGATTACGAGTCCACCGCTCTTAACCACTACACCACCCTGGCTCTCTAGAGCAGACAGAGCACAGCCATTATGGCTGACAGCGATCAGCAGCCCTCCCCACCATGAATTTGTCCCACCCTCTTTTAAAGCCATCAGCAGAGACATCACCTTGCCGACAAAGGTCTGTATAGTTAAAGCCATGGTTTTCCCAGTAGTGATGTATGGAAGTGAGAGCTGGACCATAAAGAAGGCTGATCGCCGAAGAATTGATGCTTTTGAATTGTGGTGCTGGAGGAGACTCTGGAGAGTCCCATGGACTGCAAGAAGATCAAACCTCTCCATTCTGAAGGAAATCAGCCCTGACTGCTCACGAAGGACAGATCCTGAAGCTGAGGCTCCAAGACTTTGGCCACCTCATGAGAAGAGAAGACTTCCTGGAAAAGACCCTGATGTTGGGAAAGATGGAGGGCATAAGGAGAAGGGGACAACAGAGGATGAGATGGTGGGACAGTGTTCTCGAAGCTACCAGCATGAGTTTGACCAAACTGTTGGAGGCAGTGGAAGACAGGAGTGCCTGGCGTGCTCTGGTCCAGGGGGTCACGAAGAGGCGGACACGACTAAATGACTGAACAACAACAACAACAACAACAAAGTTGGTGGCCATTGCTACTTCTTGTGGCAGGGAGTTCCAAAGTTTAACTCTGTGCTGAGTGAAGGACTTCCTTTTCTCTGCCCTGAATCTCCAGGCATTCGCCTTCTGGATGGCACCCGCTGTGCATTTAAAGCACACCCCCCTCCTAAAGAATTATGGGGACTGTAGTTTACCCCTCAAAGAACTACAATTCCCAGCAGCACCCTTAACAAACTACAGTTCCCAGGACTCTTTGGGGGAAGCCACTTGCTTTTCATATGTATGCTATGGATGGGGGCAAGAGATCAACTTCATGATTTTATTTAATTCTGTAGTTATTTCATAAAAAATTATACACCGCTTGATTGCAAACATACCCCCCCCCCTGCAAAGTTGTATACAAGAATGTAAAGCAGTAAAACCAAGAAAGATTCACAACCCTACTTTAAAACATATACATGTTAAGATACTGGAACAGATTAATATGACCTGTGTGAGTGTCTGGAGGCCGTTGGAGGATGGATGGTGGCTAACAGATTGAGACTGAATCCTGACAAGATAGAAGTACTGTTTTGGGGGGACAGGAGGCAGGCGGGTGTGGGCGACTCCCTGGTCCTGAATGGGGTAACTGTGCCCCTGAAGGACCAGGTGCGCAGCCTGGGAGTCAATCTGGACTCACAGCTGTCCATGGAGGCGCAGGTCAATTCTGTGTCCAGGGCAGATGTTTACCAGCTCCATCTGGTACGCTGGATGAGACGCTCCCTGCCCACAGATTGTCTCGCCAGAATGGTGCATGCTCTGGTTATCTCCTGCTTGGACTATTGCAATGCACTCTATGTGGGGCTACCTTTGAAGGTGACCCGGAAACTGCAATTAATCCAGAATGCGGCAGCTAGACTGGGGACTGGGAGCAGCCGCCGAGATCCCATAACACCGGTCTTGAAAGACCTACACTCACTTCCAGTACGTTTCCGGGTACAATTCAAAGTGTTGGTGCTGACCTTTCAAGCCCCAAACAGCCTTGGCTCAGTATAGCTGAAGGAGCGTCTCCACCCCCATCGTTCTACCCGGACACTGAGGTCTAGCGCCGAGGGCCTTCTGGCGGTTCCCTCACTACAAGAAGCCAAGTTACAGGGAACCAGGCACAGGGCCTTCTCAGTGGTGGCGCCCTCCCTGTGGAACGCCCTCCCGCCAGATGTCAAAGAGAACAGCAACTACCAGACTTTTAGAAGACATCTGAAGGCAGCCCAGTTTAGGGAAGCTTTTAATGTTTGATGTATTACCATATTTTAAAGTTGTTTTGGAAACAGCCCAGAGGGCTGGGGAAGCCCAGCCAGATGGGCGGGGTATAAAAAAAATAAATTATATTATTATTATTATTATGACCTCAGCTTTTGAAGCATCTGGGTAGGCTTGTCTAAGCAAGAATGGTTTTAGATCAATAGGCAGGGAGTTCCAGTGTGCTACCACATTAAACAAAGAAGCTCATTCAAATGCAAGAACGGGTATTAGGTGGCACCACAAATAAACCAGCTTCTCTTCTTTCCTCCTTGTTGTTTTCACCGGTCTGACTCCATCTGCGCTCCCTCGAACCTTGGCTCTGAAGCAGGCTGCCCCCTCAGTTTCCAGCTTCCATGCCGACTCATCCCGATGACCGCCGGTGACTCAGCGGTCTTCTTCGGCTCCCGGAAGCGATCATGTTCCCTGCGGACTCACGGAGGCGGGGGAAGGTGTGAGAAAGTCACCGGTCGGTGGCGCGTGTGGAGACAGCTTTCGTACATCACTTGTCAAGGGGTGTGATGCATTCATTGTTCTGTGGGCAGGAGGAGAGGCACACTGATGCTAAAATATTATATATATATATTCATATATATATACAGTCATACCTCGGGTTACAGCCGCTTCAGGTTGCGTTTTTTCGGGTTACGGACGGCCAAAACCCGGAAGTACCAGAATGGGTTACTTCCGGGTTTTGGTGGTCGCACATGCGCAGAAGCGCTAAATCGCGCTTTGCACATGTGCAGATGTGCCAAACCGCAACCCGTGTGTGCGCAGGTTGCGAATGGTGCGGGTTGTGAACGTGCATCCTGCACGGATCACGTTCGCAACCCGAGTGTCCACTGTACAGTGGTACCTCGGGTTACATACGCTTCAAGTTACAGACGCTTCAGGCTACAGACTCCGCTAACCCAGAAATAGTAACTCGGGTTAAGAACTTTGCTTCAGGATGAGAACAGAAATTGCGCAGCGGTGGCAGCGGGAGGCCCCATTAGCTAAAGTGGTGTCTCAGGTTAAGAACAGTTTCAGGTTAAGAACGGACCTCCGGAAAGAATTAAGTACTTAACCTGAGGTACCACTGTATATGAAACTTTGGATTTCTAGGACTAGTTCAGGGGTCAGCAAACTTTTTCAGCAGGGGGCCGGTCCACTGTCCCTCAGACCTTGTGGGGGGCCGGACTAGAGTTTTTTGGGGGGTAATGAACGAATTCCTGTGCCCCACAAATAACCCAGAGATGCATTTTAAATAAAAGCACACATTCTACTCATGTTAAAACATGCTGATTCCTGGACCATCTGCAGGCCGGATTGAGAAGGCGATTGGGCCAGATCTGGCCCCCGGGCCTTAGTTTGCCTACCCATGGCCTAGTTCATTTTGCTGTGGCCAAAGCCTTGTGGCCAAACTTCATACCCTCCAACTGCCCCTCTAGACCAGCAGTGGGAAAGGATTTTGTTGTGTACTGAGTTGAATAGGATCCAAATTGCAGCAGTCTGATTGGTCCTAGAACAATAGGACCCAGAAGGCAGCAGTCTGATTGGTCTACAGGAGCCACCCAATCCAGCTCCAGGTGGAAGTGAATCTGCAACCTGATTGGCCTACAGGAGAATCCCAGAATTAGCCAATCACATGTGGCCCATTGTGTAAATAATGTATATAAAGCAGACATTCTGGGGGAACTTCCATTCCTCCTCACCACTATGAGCTGAAATCCACTCTCAACTCCGAGTATATTTCAGATTTCAACCCTGGGAGCCTTATTCCGACACAGGTAAGCTCTCAGTTCTCACCTGTGGCTCCTAGAAGCTGCCGGCATGTGATGCCTTGTGAATCGTTTCGGCCGGCCAGCTAAACCAGATGAAGGTAGCCAATGGGTCTCAGACCCTTGGTGAGGTAGGGAATTCCTCTACATGCAAAGACAGACTCCTGTGGATGCAGCTGACGAGACCAAGAATGGGTCCAAAGGTCAAGTGTGGGAATGTTGAAGAAAGTAGGAGAGGATATGTTGAGTAAATATTATCCCTCCTCACTCACACTAGTGAGCAACCAGCAAAGCACATTCCCATGTATATTGCAGGAAGCAAGTTGATGGATTCGTTCAGTCCTTTTTTTTTCTGGGGGTACGCATGCCCCTAAACATTTTGTGAATATGTTTGGCCTCATTGAGGGGCAGTATTTCAAAAGGAAAATGAGAGGACCCCTAAACATTTTTTTAGAAAGAAAAAAAAGCACTAGATTCGTTAGAATCATTTAAGTTGAGCAATCCAGTCTGGTTTGTCCAGTCTGAATAGTTTCAGGTAAGTTTCCCCTTTTGTTGCCCTCTTGAAATAATAACAACACGACAGTCTTGTTTAAAGGTAAGAGTAAAGTTTCCTAACGTTCAGTTCACAGTAGTTTTCTGAAGGCAGGCTTTGTCTTGCGGTTACAGTTACATTTGTAGAGAAAAGAATTCTGAGTTAGGCCTCCGACTTTCTACCTTGTGGCTTCCATCCTCTGTAAGAATGAGCCGTGTGCTGCTGGCTAAGAGCCAGCAGAGAGGAAGATGGCAAAAGAGCAAAAAAGTCAAAGAGCCAAAAGAGGAAGATGGTTGCGTGATTGGCCCTTTTATAGGGTCTGCTAGGGACGCGGGTGGCGCTGTGGGTTAAACCACAGAGCCTAGGGCTTGCCGATCAGAAGGTTGGCGGTTTGAATCCCCGCGATGGGGTGAGCTCCCGTTGCTCTGTCCCTGCTCCTGCCAACCTAGCAGTTCGAAAGCAGATCAAGTGCAAGTAGATAAATAGGTAGCGCTCCGGCGGGAAGGTAAATGACGTTTCCGTGCGCTGCTCTGGTTCGCCAGAAGCGGCTTAGTCATGCTGGCCACATGACCCGGAAGCTGTACGCTGGCTCCCTTGGCCAATAAGCGAGATGAGCACCGCAACCCCAGAGTCGGCCACGACTGGACCTAATGCCCAGTACGGGCCACATGATCTCCTGCAATGATTTTGCAAAGTTTTTTTGCAGATAAAGTCGCTCAGATTCGGGAAGAGGTAGACGCCACCGTGGGAGCAGGGCCGGGGCGGGAGAGTGCTAGAGTCCTGTCTAGTCAAATTGCGTGGGATCAATTCCAATCTGTTACCTCCGAGGATGTGGACAGGCTGCTTGGATGAGTGAAACCAACCACCTGTCTCCTTGATCCTTGCCCATCCTGGCTTATAAAAGCTAGCTGGGAAGGGCTGGGCGATGGGCTTCGTGGGGTGGTGAATGCTTCCCTCCGTGAGGGAGCCTTCCCAGACTCGCTGAAAGAGGCAGGTATTAAACCGCTTCTTAAAAAACCATCTTTAGATGCGGCCACGATGGCCAACTATCGCCCAGTCTCAAATCTTCCATTCTTGGGCAAGGTGATTGAGCGAGTGGTTGCTGAACAACTCCAGGCACGCCTGGAAGAAGCGGACCATTTGGATCCCTTCCAGTCGGGATTCAGGCCTCATCACGGGACTGAAACTGCCTTGGTCGCACTGGTTGATGATCTCCGGCGGGCTAGGGACAAAGGTGAGAGCTGTTTCCTAGTTCTGCTGGATCTCTCAGCGGCGTTTGATACCATCAACCATAACATCCTTCTGGACCGCCTTGAGGGGCTGGGAGCTGGGGGCACTGTTATACATTGGTTCCGCTCCTTCCTCCTGGGCCGTGTTCAGAAAGTGGGGGGGGGATGAGTGTTCAGACCCCTGGGCTCTCACTTGTGGGGTGCCTCAGGGTTCTGTCCTCTCCTGCTTTTTAACATCTACATGCAGCCGCTGGGAGAGATCATCAGGGGGTTTGGGCTGGGTGTTCATCAGTATGCGGATGATACCCAGCTCTACCTCTCTTTCAAATCAGAACCAGTGAAGGCGGTGAAGGTCCTGTGTGAGTGTCTGGAGGCGGTTGGGGGATGGACGGCGGCTAACAGATTGAGATTGAATCCTGACAAGACAGAAGTACTGTTTCTGGGGGACAGGAAGTAGGTGGGTGTGGAGGATTCCCTGGTCCTGAATGGGGCAACTGTGCCCCTGAAGGACCAGGTGCGCAGCCTGGGAGTCATTTTGGACTCACAGCTGTCCATGGAGGCACAGGTTAAATCCGTGTCCAGGGCAGCTGTGTACCAGCTCCATCTGGTACGCAGGCTGAGACCCTATCTGCCTGTGGACTGCCTCACCAGAGTGGTGCATGCTCTGGTTATCTCCCGCTTGGACTACTGCAATGTGCTCTACGTGGGGCTACCTTTGAAGGTGACCTGGAAACTACAACTAATCCAGAATGCAGCAGCCAGACTGGTGACTGGGAGCGGCCGCCGAGACCATATAACACCAGTCTTGAAAGACCTACTTTGGCTCCCAGTATGTTTCCGAGCACAATTCAAAGTGTTGGTGCTGACCTTGAAAGCCCTAAACGGCCTCGGTCCAGTATACCTGAAGGAGCGTCTCCACCCCCATCATTCTGCCTGGACACTGAGGTCCAGCACCGAGGGCCTTCTGGCAGTTCCCTCCCTGAGAGAAGCCAAGTTACAGGGAACCAGGCAGAGGGCCTTCTCAGTAGTGGCGCCCTCCCTGTGGAACACCCTCCCACCAGATGTCAAAGAGAACAACAACTACCAGACTTTTAGAAGACATCTGAAGGCAGCCCTGTTTAGGGAAGCTTTTAATGTTTGATGTATCATAGTATTTTAATATTCTTTTGGAAGCCGCCCAGAGTGGCTGGGGAAGCCCAGCCAGATGAGCGGGGTATAAATAATAAATTATTATTATTATTATTATTATTATTATTATTATTATTGTCAGGGGTCCCTTTACCTTTTTAGGGTCAAGCCCATCTCTGGTCACACAACGGAAGGATGTTCTGTCTGGAGCGACATTCCCCTGTGTGTCCACTATGGGCAACAGAAAATGTTGTGTTTGACTGCTTCAGTGATGATACATCAAGAAGGTGGTTTCTTCATGTGCTTTAGAGGGAAGTGAGGGGAAGGGGGAAGGCAGCCCACCTAGGAGAAGGAAAACTCTGACCCCAAACCTCCGCTGCCTTGCGGGATATTTTCAGGAGAAAAAAAGCTCAGGACTAAACCCTTCACAAATCTGGAGTGGCGTCCCTAAGATGGTTGGATGGCACCTTGTCCACCTTTTTCTGTCAACTCCTGAAGCCAAGCTGGTACCAAAACCAGTCCACTGTCCCTCAGACCATGTTGGGGCCAGACTATATTTTTTTTGGGGGGGGGAATGAATGAGGGATGATGAGCGGTGTGCGAAAGGGCTCCGAAGAGGGGCTGGCACCAACAAGGCCCAGCCCCCTTCCTCCTCTAGGCAGGGCAGGGAGAAGCCGGGAGGAGGGAGGGAGGAGGCAGTGCCGCCACCGTATGAGGGAGAAGGAGGGAGAGGGAAAGAATGTGCATGCTGGCGATCCACACGGCGATTCCCAGACCGTCTGCGGGCCAAATCCAGAAGGCAATTGGGCCTGATCTGGCTCGCAGGCTTTAGTTTGCCGACCCATGTTTTAAAGACATGTCAAAGTGCCCAACCCTTTAGCCAAAGACCACCCAAAAGCATCTTGCCAGCATCCCAGAAAGAGGTGATCTACAACAGAAGTTGGAGAGAGTGGCTTCTTTCCTAGGGCTGCTATACACCCAGAATTCACCCATCGATAACAGCATCCCTGCGGAATTTCCTATAATTGGCGAAATGTCCGAGAAGACCCAGACATATGGCAACCAATGTCAGGAGTGTAGGTTTTTGGGAGAATTTCAAAAAAGAAAAAAGCTTGAAAACTTCACACCCTCCCCCCATTATTGCTCAACTTTGTCCCCCAAAAAGTTCAAGAACTTTTGTGTCCGAATTTTCACTTTTTGAAATACGGAAGCCCTATTATTTCCTGTCTGTCAAGATACCTGATTTCCTGGTCAGCCTTGGGCTCTTCTTTTGAGATGATAAAATAGCTTCGTTCTTGAATCCAGTTCACAAGCCTACGCTATTCACAAACAAAATATGTCCTCAAGACAGGATGTGAAGGGTTTGTAAGTGAAAAGGGCTCTTGGGAAAGGTTTTTCCAAGATACTTCCTTCTGCGGAGATATATTTGGGGTCGTTAAGAGTCAATATGGCTTCAGGATTGCTCTCCTGCACTATTTCAGACGTGTGGTTTATGTACTCATGTATGTGTGTGTGCTTGCGAACATTCATTTTATTTATGACTCCTTAGAATTTTTATAACACGGTATATCCTAAAGGTATATCCAACAAGACAGGGATCTTGGACAATGGGAAGTGACTCAACTACAGGGAAAAGTGGCAGCATTTTGGACTGCTTTGGAAAGGTAAGAGGGAACATTATAGAAGTGTCTGTAGTTGTTTAGTCGTTTAGTCGTGTCCACCTCTTCGTGACCCCCTGGACCAGAGCACGCCAGGCACTCCTGTCTTCCACTGCCTCC